GACAGAACCCGATGTGGCTTCTAGGGGATGCACAGGCCCGAACCCGAAAGGAAGGCAAGTTATTCGCCAACGAGGGATGGGACGAAGTTAGTAGCAGAGTTGTGATGGGAGGATGGAAGGAATTCAAACCTCCAAGTCTACGGACAACGGCTTGGGTACCGGAATTCATAGCCGAGTGGTTTGGGGGGTTTGAGCACATTTTTAGAAGAAGCCGACTCCATGAGAAGGGTGCATATAGAGTGTGCATGTTTGACTGAGGAGTTCTATAGGCTCTCATTGAAATATGGGCCCTTCTACGGAGATAAAGTCGAGGAAGTCATCATCGTCCTAAGAATAGGCAGGTATGACCCCCTAGTGGTAGAGGCGGAGTCTTGGGACGTCATAGTTAGCCGGGAGGCGGCGACTGCACCCTCCTACGTAGACGACGTCTTTAAACTATTTGAGGTACTGTGGTTCGACTGAATGAGGCCAAGAAATCGAACACAACGAAAAAGGCTGAGTATGGAGTGTGCTTGTGAAGTAAGGTGTAACATAAGAAAGGGGGTGTGTACATTAGGCCGTAGATGGTGCATAAGGATCGAAACAAGGAGGAAGTGACAGCAACTAGAAAATGAGGGTCGGGTAGAATCGAACGTGTATGAGTTGGGGATAGCGGCAGGAACCAGTGTACGATAAGTAGGGAKRGTCGAAAGACTAAAACACRAAAGGCATGGAATCTCGGTGGRTGCAGCGATCGGACTAAGAAAGCAGGAAAKGAGATATTGCGAGATGGYTCGGCGAATGACGTTCTGGGCGGATAGACYGCGTGGGATACTGCCACCAAGAATATCAGAGGGCAGGGTCGAAATAAGCCTGCCGGCGAGAAATACGGTAGGCAATCCGGTAATGGACTGGGTGGGGGTAGATTTGGTGGAAGATACGGTATACCTAGTAGTGAAGCTAGAATGGCGGGCGAGAGGGGAGTTCGGGTGCGTAGACTTGAACCACCCAGGGCGTGTACACACGACGGGATCCTTACACCTGTCGGAAGAGGGATGGCGGACCTTGGGGATTGCTTTGGCTTCCGGGGATGACCCCGTGCGAATGTTCGAAGGGGCACGGCAAATAACCTTGCGGGAGGGGTTTGAGTTTGCAGACCCGGAACGAGATSACGTAACGGCRGAGGTAAAAGTCGCCGCGGCGGGGGGTTTTGAGCTGCCAAATGAGGTCGTACGGATRAGTCTACCACCCTCCCTGCTAAGACGAATGGGGGGCATAGAACGAGTGGAGCAGGCGGTGACTGACGTAACTAGGCTAAATTTTGACGAAGCATTAATGTATCGAGAATACTATCGGGCCTTTCKAGAGATRGGGSCTTTCGGGGACGAACAGGGCCGCGAAGTGCTTTGCATTCTACGGGCGGCAATAGATACTAGGCCGGGAGTCCCACAAATAGATGACGAGGCCTTGTGGGGAGTCATCCGGCGGGAGGTAGACCGGGGCGCGACGCACATAGACGACATGTACCGATTGTATGAACACCCAGAAAAGGCTACTGCTCCCGAAGGTGTGGAGGGATAGTTAGAACCAGAAAAGAAAGTTGAAAAACACGAAGGGCAAGGGGGCAGTAGGTGGACGGTTTCTAAGGATTGGTTGTAACACTTTCCATATGGATCATGCAGGAAATCACCAAGGTAACCATGGCAGCAAGACGTGAGCATAGGGAACTTCAGGCCCGTGTGCGAATGGCGTGCCAACCCCGGTACCCCGGAATGCCGTGGAATAACGGTGGACGCTGGGAAGTATCCCTCCCGTCGAGTTCAACTTATCGGGGGTTCGATATAGAATGGCGGGCTGTGACTTTGGGGAGGGACGCCGCCTTCATGTTGGTAGAATGTCGGTGGACAGGGATGAGACTCGACCGAGGACCCGGGGACGATCTGTTTTCCAATCTGGAAGTTACCGGGACGATGTATCTGCCTCAGCTCGGCTGGCACTCGTTGGGGGTAGAGATAACACAAGGTCACGAGCTGGCGCCGGTTTTTCAAAGGGCCGCCTGGACGTTGACTCGGGTGGAAATGGGGGGACGGCGGGATTTCAGAGCACCAACCACGCTGCTGAGGTGCCGGGTCCCCCGTTTTATGATAGATCTCGTCTTCCGGAGCCTCGCAAGGGCGCAGGAGCTGGCAGACTCGGCAATAATGTGGGCAGACCACTTTTCCTCTCTAACCATCGGGATGTTCTATGATGTCGCCGTGAGGCATAGGCCGTTCTGGGGAAACAGGGCCCACGAGTTACTGGAGGTCATCCATATCCTGATATTTCGTGCGCCTTGGCTAGACCAGACAGGGCACGAACGCATAATCCAAAGGCAAATCGAGATAGGCGAGAGCTATTTGGCAGGGGTAGCTGAGCTATTCGAAGAGCCGACCGAACCGGAAGAACTACGAGGGCGCGAGTGGGACTAGGATCCGCAGGCAGGCCAATAGGGCAGATCCAGTATAGTTCGCTGCGTGCGGAAATCCGCCGATGGGAATAAGAAAGGGGCCTCGGACCCAGATGGCTAAAACCCACTAGAAAAACAAAGAAGGGGGTAGACTCCTAATGAGTGAGCATGACCCGGAGGGTAAAAGACGGGAAACGCTGCTTGGGAAGGCTTCCCTTAGCAGGATGCCTAACCCGGACTCCCTCGCGTCGGCTGACGGGACAAGGGCACTACAAATGGGCTTGTGATAAAGAAAGTCAATCACGTTCATAGCTCGGTTGGGCGGCAGGGCCGGTCGTGGCTCCTCCTTAAGGAAGGGCAATCAGGAAACAGGGATAAGAAAAGAGACTATAAAGATAAGCCAACAGAGCTAGGGGCCTAGGGTACCTAAAAACCTCGCATTGCGTGTGTCCTGGGAATTCTTTGGCTTATGCAGAACTAGGGAAAATGGCAACGAAGGAGGAGAGATAATCATAAGAGTGGAGGGGAACTAGGCTTAGGAGGCAGTGCCGCACAAAGCGAAGGGGGGCATAAGGACAGAGAATCGATAAATCTGGATGGTACCAAAGAAAACCGGAAGGAGATCTCCACAAGGGAAAGCTCGGGGGAAGCTGGGGGAAGCAGGCAAGGGACTCAGGGGACCAAGGAAGGTAGAAATAAGGATAGGACAAGCCCCGGGAACTCGGAAGGTGCCGTGTCTAAGAAAGTAAGGGTCACGGATACGAGGCGCAAACTAGTCGAGATAGACAAAAGGACCGCGGAGTACAAGGCAAGATTGATTGAGGAAATGATGATTGRRAAYGAAGAAGGCTCTCTGYAGGAGGAGCCCCGGGACGAACGGAGAACCGGCCGAGGTGGGACTGGACAAGGGGGTAAAGGTAGTGACCGTCGGGGAACGCCGAGCAAAAGAAGGAAAGAGGGGGAGAACTCTGCAGGGATGAACATGGAAAAGGCTACGACCCCGCCAGCCATAGATAGTGGGGCTAGCCGCCTGCCGACCKCGCCAGYGGTGACGCGAGGGYGCGAAGGACTCTGGAGCSTTAGGGAAAGAGTGTTGGGATCGTTTGACCCGGAAGAAACTACGAAAACCAGGGAGGGACAAAAGGCCGGCAAGGAAGGTCCRGATAAMAGTGTGACAGGCGWGGYCAGCAGCTCYGAGGGCGGCCTTAAGAAGATAATATCGTCCCTCGCGCGAGCACTAAACAAAAATCAAGGCTACCTAGCGGATGCTAAGAAAAAGTTGACGTTTGATGGGGCGAACATCACGCAATTTATGATAGATTACGAGAATCTGGCTGCACTGTTGAAATGGACCGAGGAGGAGAAGATGGACCACATGGGACAGCATGTGTCTTTGAGCCTAGAACGGGACATAATGGCCATCGTGGCCGCAAGCCGGTCTTGGAAAGAAATCCGGGATGTGATGATGAGAAAGTATCTGGCAGCAGAGAAGATGGCAACGGAGGCCGATTTAGCGGCAGTCCAGAGGAAGAACTTCGCAACGTACAATGACTTCCTACGGGAGTTTACTTTGGTAGCACTAAGGATCCCCGGGGTCACGGACTGGATAATGAACAAATATTTCCTCAGGCAGTTCTCTGAGTTCGACAAAGACAAGATCCTGTCAGCCTACCAACAGACAAGTAAGTTCGTAAACACGCGGGGTGTTGATTTTAGCACGGTAACGGATCTGGCTGAGAAAACGGTAGTGACAGAAACGTTGGCCTTGCTTAAGGAAGGGGAGATTATAGACTTGACCAGTAAGACAGGCGACAAGGTGAAAAAGGGGATTGAAAGCCTACACGAACGGGTGCACGGAGTCGACAACAAGATTGAAAGGATGGAGAGCGCGCTACTAGTTATGCAGGCGCAAGTATCCCGTCCCCCCCTCCCGCACCAGGAAGCAGTAGTTCCCCCTGGGGTGGCCAATCGTGGATATGGAYGGAGAGATCCCGCCAACGAGCAATGCAAATACTGTACCGCGATAGGACATTATGTGCGCGCGTGTCCAAAGCTCAACCATGATATTTAAAAAAAAAGGTGTACCAGGTCATTAAAGGGGGAGATATTTGGACCACAGGAGGAACGGGTGAACTGAAACTCGCCAGGAGGGATGCGGCGAGCCATCATCATGGTCAACGGGCTAGAAATAACATCCGTAGAAGCCGAACCGGTGGGCGAGATCATCTGGGATCAACACCAGGGGCGCGGRCCGCAGGTCAATTTCATTTTGGAAAACGACGGACATGATAGGGTGAACGCGACTACTCGGCTAGGGACGGCTGGGAGAAGGATTAACCGTGACACCGTGATGGAGGAGGTTGCGGGAAGTTCGGAACCCCAGGCAGAGCCTGAGGCCGAGGAACCGGAAAAAGTCTATGGGAAACCTAGGGAAGAGGAGCGTGCCGACAAAGTTACCGCTGCCAAGAAGAAGTTTAGGTACTAAATCCCGATCTTATCCTTGTCGGAGATCGACGACACCATTAGCAAGTTACTAGAAACCATGGTGTCGGTGTCTTTTCAGACTGTGCTGCAGGCTAGCCCTAGGTTGCTCAAAGGGCTTAGAGAACTGTTGACCCGACGGCGAGTAGAAATAGGCGACAACCCCGAATTACCAGAAGGGGAGAAGGAGGAGGAAATTCCGCAAGAAGTGGCTAACCTTCAGAGGAGTCGCGGGGATTTGGAGGATCTCGAGAAAGCTTTTGCGGATATTCGTTTGAGTTTGCCTGACCGAGAGGGCGGCGAGGTCATGAGGTTACCACCGGGGAGAAAGCTTAGCTTTCATGCGCTGCCCGTAGGGAAGCTGAAAATCCAGATCCGGACGCATCATACCGACGCGTTAGTAAACGGGGGAGCAGAAATCACTCTCATAAGAAGAGATTTCGCAACGATCACGGGGTGTACGATAAACAAGGAAGTAACAGGGAGCATCCGGGGAGCTGGCGGGGAAATCCCGTTCGCTAGGTACGTCACGAAGTGTGCTGTGAAGGCAGGGGTCAGGGAATCAATCTGGTCGTTTCAGCGGATGACCGTAATGGAGGAAATGGACCACGACATAATCCTCGGGAGACCGTGGTGCGAGAACGTAGAGATGATAGGCATGCACTTGCACGATGGCTCATACATGGTAGACATAGAGGACCCTGTGACCGGCCGGGGAGAGCTCCACCGRCTCCTTGGAACGGGAGGAGACCCCCCGAAGGGGAAATTGGCAACATGGTAGCCGTCGTTCGAGGATAGCACGCGGAAAGGGGCTTTCGCACGGATGGAGGGTATGAGAGAAAGGGTAGAAATCATGATTGAGAAAACATTCAATAAGAAGGAGTGGATCAAGAAGGGCCTGCCCCAGAAGAAGAGGAGGCAGGAGGACGAAGTCCTAGGTGTTATGGTAGCGGAAAAAGAGTCAGAGGTCGAACTTGGTGCTAGCCTGCCCAAACGGAAAGAAGTACGAATAGATGTGCCGGAAATCGCACTYGAGATCCCCRATCTATTGCAMCTCATCAAGGCCYTCAGATACCASAAGGTAGGAGTGGATTCRGCAGCCTTGGCCAAGTTCGAAAGAGAGGTGCAAAAGGGATATKGCYTGAATRGAAGACTAGTTAGTATTCAACCACGAGTCGTAGAGGCGACGGGGGCAATTCCGACTGTTCATTTTTTAGGAGAAAGATCCCGGAAGGAAGTGTTCGAAAGTACAAGCCGGTAGGGAAGAAAGCAAAACCGGTCTCGATCCTGCTAGAGACGTCAAAGGAAGAGGCAATGGAGAAGGAGGAAGAGGTCCTTCAAGTGATTCGAGAAAGAAGGGCGACGGAGGGACATAGGATACCAGATGAGGTAGCGGACACAATGAAGATAGGGATAAACGGGTTCTTAACGGAAGGAGAAACCCGCCTGATCAAAAGGACTTGCGAGGAGTTTCACCTGGCATTTGCCTTTAGTGATCACCAGAAGGGGCAACTGGATGCGAAATTGATACCGCTAGTCAGAATCCACACGGTAGAACGTTAGTGCTGGAATGACAAGGGGCCATCCTATGAATTTGGGATAGCAGGAGAAGTAACAACCCTCCTCCGAGCGAAGATGGACTCCTTCGTTGCAGAGCCTAAGGCATCGCCATACGCAAATCGGTGGTTTGTCTTTCAGAAGCCTAACAAGACACTAAGGTGGATTCAGGACCTGCAAAATTTGAATGCGGTAACCATCCGGGATGCTGGCTCGCTACCTCAGGCTGACTTATTAGCAAAATCGCACGCCGGTCGGAGCATTTACTCCCTGATAGATCTGTACTCAGGGTACGACCAGCTTCCATTGGATGTTCGGGACAGGCCATACACTGCCATGCACACCCCCGTAGGCCAGCTACAGATGCAAGTGACACCTATGGGATTCACAAACGTGGTGGCCGAAGCGCAACGCAGGATGCTCGCCGTGGCCGGGGACATGTTCCCAGAAAAATGTGAGCCTTACATCGATGACAGTCCGATCAAAGGTGCGCAGGAGAAGGACGAGACAGAAATCCAACCGGGAATCCAAAAGTTTGTGTGGGCCCACTTGCAGGACATCAAGGAATTACTCCGCCGGTTCCTAGTAATATATTATGGCTAGTGGACCAAAGAGTATCCTAGCGGTACCGGAGGTAACTATACTAGGATTTCGTTGCGGGGCTTACGGCAGGAAGCCGGATCCGGCAAAGACCGACAAGATATCACAGTGGCCGACACCACTACGCACGACGACGGAGGTAAGGGCATTCCTAGACGTAGTCGGCTTTTGGAGGATCTTCATTAAATACTTTGCCAAGATTGCTGAGCCTATCCGGGCTATGATAAGGGAAGAAGGAACCATGGATTGGACGGAGGAGCGAGAAGGAGTTGTCCAAAGGCTCAAGGACATATTGACATCTGAGACAGTCGCCCTGTCCGCGCCTGGTTTTAATGACGAAGTGGGACGACCCTTCATCCTAGAGACGGATGGAGGACCTTTGGTCATAGGAGGTGTGTTGATTCAAAAGGATGAGGGAGGAAAAGAGAGGCCGATTAGGTTCGAAAGTAGAACCCTGAACTCCGCAGAACGGCGGTACTCGCAATTCAAGAAGGAAGTCCTAGCCATCCTGCATTGCCTTAAGACCTTCCAGGCCTACCTATTTGGGAGGCGGTTCATCTTAAGGATCGATCCGACGAATGTCGCAGGGGCTCTAAAGAATTACAGGCCTATAGATCCGACGATAGGGAGGTGGGTAGGATTCATCTGGCAGTTCGATTACAAGATCGAACGGATTGCTGGAATCCGCGACAAGGCATATGGGCTGAGTCGGGTTTGCATCACTCTCGAAGGGATGGAGGATGCAGAACCCATAGACGTCTTCCTCGAATACGAAGGAGGAACTCTTGCGGTGGACAACGAGATGATGAGCGGAGAATGCAAATCGGGAGAACTATTGATCCAGACTTTGGAGAAAGGGGCACCTGCCGTAGTAGCAGAACTTAGAGAAGGACCAGTTACCACTCGAGGACGCAGAGAAGAAAATGACTCATCGGGAGCGATAGTAGGACCGAAAAAGGAACTAATGGCAATGGCGGTCGAAGGAGGTCGGGAAGCAGTGATGAGCTTAGTGGAATCTTGAAAAAGGAAAGGGTTGCAATGGGTGGTAAATCAGATGCAAGAAGGAAAGGATGGGGGCAAGGAAGAAGTAAAGTTTTTCTATGTCCAATCCTACGAAGGGCTCTTTCGGGAGATCGGATTGTTTTTGGTAGGAAACAAACAACCTACGGAAGTCAGTATTAAGGCAAGAGAAGAAGCCGAAAGATACGTCCAAAGGGGCGGGCATTTGTTCCGAAGGGAGGAAGGCGCTATGCCTAGAAGGGTTGTGTGCGGAAGATCTAGGCAAGTAGACGTTATCCATGCAATGCACGACGGGTTAGCTGAAGGTCATCTGTCGTCCAAAGGAACACTTGCAAAGATAACGCCGCTCTATTATTGGTCAGGCATGGCAGGTATGGTCGCCATATACTGCCAGACTTGCCTAATTTGCCAAGAACGAAGCTCGGTACGAGTCTTCGAGCCGCTTAGACCAACGCGGGTGCTAGGGTCGGGACATCTGGTCCACCTCGACCTTGCGGTCATGCCTATATCAACAGATGGGTACACGTATATCCTAGATGCGCGAGATAACCTTAGTGGGCTCGTGGAGGCATCCGCCCTCAAGAAAAAGACAGGGAGGAGTGTGGTGGACTGGATAGAAGACTTCTACTTAAGGCATCTATTCGTCAGGAGGTTTATAGCAGACAATGAGACAGAATTTGTAAACCAAAAAGTATTGGGGATGCTTAAGAGACTCTGTGTTCCGATCAAGCTCATCGAGTCGTATCACCCTGAGGCCAATGCACCTGTGGAAAGGGGGCACCGAACCTTGAAGAACAGGATTGCAAAGCTCGCAGCAGACCATCTGGGGAACTGACCTAGGTATCTTAAGCAGGCTGTCTTTGCAGAGAATATGACTCATAAAAGGACAACAGGATGTATCCCGGCAGAGCTTTGGTACGGAAGAGAGATCGACTTTCCTGTGGAAGCCTTGGTACCTACTTGGAATAGGTTAGATGATGATCCGCAAATGACCACTGAAGATTTAATCGAGGCAAAATGTCAACGAATCCTTAAGAATGAGGAGGTCGTGGAAGACATCGCCAGCCGGGTGCCGGACAGTAGAATGAGGGACAAAGCAAGGTGGGACCATGTTAAGAATGTCAGAAAGGAGCCACTTCAGGTGGGGCAGATGGTATTGCTAAGGAACTTGGCACTAGAAAGTACTTGGTCGGGACAGTTGGGAAGGAGGTTCAAAGGCCCCTACCGGGTCGCGAAGCGGGTGGGACTGAACACCTTCGAACTGGAAGATTTTGATGGAACTGGATTAGAAGGGCCCTTCCAGGGGCAACGACTGGTCARGTTTCTAAGTCGGGACCCAGAGGAACAATGGCTTCAGGAGGCCGAAGATAAGGAAACAGAGGAGCCACAAGTTAAAGACTAACCACAGCCTTGCCCACACTATGGTTTGTCTCTGACCATGTTCGTGGGACTGTCATTTTTTTTGGGACTGGTGCTTTGGCTTGGACTAACTGAGGTTGAAAGGTAGCATGACTTGGGGGTTTGCAATATCTAGCTTGTGTGACAACGGGAAGGGATGTTTGGGGCATTGTACCATAGTTTTTGACGGGAAAAATATGGGGTCATCACAAACGATGCATTCGCATCTATAAAAAGGGCGTGATGCGAGGGATATTGGGTGCATTTTGGGAATGTCTACCGGCCTAAGGGGGGGGAGGCGTAACTGTATGAGGGACATTGCGGGTGTTGTTTTGTTATACGGGCTTAGGAGTAAAACGAGAAAAGACAAAAATGAAATTCGGCAACGAGAACGACAGCGGGGCAATCAACAGGCCGACCGGAGGGGAAGAAGCTGGACCAAGCCAAGGGAGGAGGAGAGCAAAGAGAAAATTGTACTTTGGGCTCATGGGCGGGCCAGTGGTAGGCAGGGGTGGAAGGAAATGTTTGTGTAGGAAACCCTCACCCCTCCGCAAGGGAGAAGGTATAGAAATATCATCTGACAGTGAGGGCGAAAAGGGAAGGGCAAATGTGGAAGAAGGAGGCAACACAGAAATGGGAGATAAGGCTCAGGTCTCTAACGAGGAAGGGGCCAATAGGGGCGAACGACGTGAGACTTGGCATGGGGAAAGCGAGGGGGGACAAGGTATACGTGACAAACGTGAGGAGGACGAGGAGAAAAGGTAGAGTCCGCTTGAAGGACGAAGCGGTCACGACAGTTGCGAGGGGTATGGGACGGGGACGAAGATCCCCTTTACCTATGATCCTAAGAACCTTGCTGGTGGGTATAGCCCCATACAGACTGAGGACGAGGGGGTGGAGGAGCAGGATGTGCGAGAAGTCATAGAAATCAGCAGCGGGGATGAGAGGGATGAGATCTCAAGACCTAGGGAACAGGGGCGGCCTCCGATGCACCAGCCGGGCGATAGGGCTTTCAGATGGGAGGACGAGTTCGGGCCAACGCCCAGTCATTGGTTTCAGCAATGGACCAATGTAATCAGGCACGAATGGATTATCAAGACTCGGGCACTCGCAAGGGCAGGGGTGGAAGCCACACCACTGGATTTTTTCAACGAGGCTGAGTTGCATAAAATTATAAGGATGAAAAGAGTGATCGAGACCTACGGCCTGGGGGTTAGAAAGCCTGCCGAGCAACGGGGTGGACAAGGAACTAGGCGAGACGAGGTGCAAGGCAGTAATAAGAACTAGGTGTTGACTTAACATTGAAAATGATCGCTGCTTTCTGTCTGCAGAGATATGAGAATGACGAGAACATGTATAATATGGACAAGCTTGCTAAGGAGGAAGTGAAAAGAGGGTCAGCTAAGGCTGTGTCACGCTAAAGTAGAAGATAGTTATTGAGGCTACTTTTTGGATGAGTTACCTTGGGTACCTAAGACAAAAACATGGGATTTGGGATGAGACCAATTGGGAGAGGGCGTATTGTGAATTTTGGATGGAACAAGGATTATGCTTTTGAGAGGGGAAAAACCTTGAGTACGGATTGACGAGCAAACCATGGCCTTGAATGATTGGTCGAGTACAAGAGAGGTAAGGTATCCTATGGGTTAAGGGGCGTGAAGAACACTCCTTCCCTAGGAGCCTAATCCAACTGAGTCATGAATGAGACTGAGAATAGCCGAAACCTGAGAGATCAGGAAGAGTGAAAATGTAAGGGGCGCCCTTGTCATTTGTTATTGGTGAACGGTCGGGTGGGCTAGTGCTGCTTGGGGTCACAAGCCCCAACTCGAGTACTAGACGCTAAGTCGGATGTACGAATGGATGGTACGTTACTGTGAGGAATGGAATGGATGGTACATTACTGTGAGAAATGGAATGGTTGGTACATTACTGTGAGGAATGGAATGGATGGTACATTACTGTGAGAAATGGAATGGATGGTACATTACTGTGAGAAATGGAAGAAAGAGAATAGCACACAAAAGATGAGATAACCACCTTCTAACCTCCAAGACAGAAATGGGATCCGTAACCTCGAGGCCCACCCCCTCGGGCACTAACTGAAAGTTGGTTTGGTTGGCCTATGCGTAAAGACTATATAACGCCTAAGTTTTATGAATGGCAACATGCTTATTAATTTATTCAATTGAAAACAATCATAGAAAGATTCCAGTTTCTAATAGACAATGTTGAATAAAAAGAACTGCAATAAAAAAAAAAATTTGCAAGAGAGTAAATTGAAGTAGGTTGTTCGACTTGAGAATGAAAAGCAATGGCCCTAACCAGGCTGTTCGACTTGAGAATGGAAAGGAATGGCCCTAACCAGTCTGTTCGATGTGAGAATGGAAAAGAACGACCCTAACCAGGTTGTTCGGGAATGACCCCTCACAAGGGTCATTCCTTTTGAAATAGGCAGTGGGGTCCCTTGCATATTTGATTGAGAAAGGTTGATTGAGGATGAGCTAGAATGAGCAATAAGAGATGRAAAAGGCCGGTGGGTCGGTCATTGAAATAGCCAATGGAATGAGAGAGATGGAAAAGGCCRGTGGGTCGGTCKTTGAAATAGCCAATGAGTTGAATGGGGGAAATGGAAAAGGCCGGTGGGTCGGCCGYTGAAAATTGCCAAGGGGGCAGGGGAAAGATGTGAATAAAAGAGGCGGGGCCTTAAAGCCAAGAGGGGCAGGGACCGTTGGGACGGTCACAGAGATTGGGTGTTGAGGAATGAGAAAATTGAGGATTGAGTGGGCGGAAAGTTAGTCTTGAGAATGACTATTGAGAGAATGACCGTCAGACCGGCCACGGGGATGGCCTTGTTGATAAGAGGCTGTCAGACCAGCCATGAGAATCAGCCTTGGAAATAGCATTGGATTGAATGATTGAGGATTGAATATTGCATTGCATAGGCTTGAAATGGACTTGGAAATAGTATTGAAATGAATTTTCTCTTTTTCTTGTCTTTGGCCTCAGCACGAGGGGGATAACGGTGCTCGCAACGCGACCCCAAGACCTCTATCCCTGTAAGGGAAAAAGTCTCAGCGTGACCTGTTCCTCTTGTAAGGGGATGAGGGTTAAAGAACCAAGGCACCTACCACTTGGATCGGTGAGGGAGTTTGGAACTGAACCCGACAAAGAGCTCTAGTCGGGAAGTTTAAGTTGCGCCTCGTGTTGAACGCCTAAACATCAAAGGGTGAGGGAACCAAATGGGCAAGAGAGCCATTTTCTTTTTTCTAGTCTCTTTTGTTCTCCCCAACCACACACCATGTCGTTGAGGGGCGGCATGACCGCTTGGAATGGACCACGGCGGCTCGCGTTAAGTTGAGCAGCACTATCGAGAGGGAGGAATCGGGCGTGGTACCTGGTGGAAGCCGCAACCACCACGGGGCGAGTGACACCCCCCTGCCGAAGCATTACAACTGCTTCGGGTCTAATTGTGAGGTTTTCGTAACTGCACTCGTGGACTAATTGAGAACCCCAACTCTCTTGAAAGAAAGAGGCCGGATCCAGAAAATTACCACTCAGGAGGAACGATTCGCGAGGAAACCCTTGTGGCAAGACGGGGTCCTGGGAGGCTTGGACTGGACCTGCCTTCCAGATGTGAGGAGGTACCTCAGTAATGGCGCCCGTCTCTTAAGCAGCAAAAGGTCGGATGGAGTAAGGGGATGAAGTGAGTTATCAGCAGGGGGAGGACTCATCACCCTTCCTTTTTGGGGGTGATGGGCCGGCATCTGCCTACTCGTTTGTGGGTCAAAGGTTGCGTACCTCCGAGTGAGAACCGGTCGTGCGATGGGGAAATCGCATTTTGAGTGGGGGGAAGGTGTGCTATCTACCAAAGAAAAAGCGTGTAAAAGAGAAGGGTACCATGAGCGTAAGAATGAATGAGTAATTGTGCATGCTTGAGAAAAGGTCTGGCAAGATGTCCAGAAGAAAAAAATGGATGATTAAACGACTTTGCGCAGGCTTGAGAAAAAGTCTGGCAAGATGTCCAGAAGAAAAAAATGAATGAGTAATTAACGTTGCATGAGTTTGAAAAAAGGCCTGGCAAGATGTCCAGAGGTGAAGAATGGATGAGTAATTGACTTTGCGCAGGCTTGAGATAAGTCCTTGCAAGATGTCCAGAAGAGAAATGGGTGAGAAATTGACGTTGCATGAGCTTGAGAAAAAGTCGGGCAAGCGACTTGTGTGATTTATTTGGTATAAGCTTGAAAATGGGTCGAGTAAGATGTCTGGAAAAGAAAAGACTCGTATGATGGACTATGTATGGATCTGAAAGAAAGACTGGCAGGCTGGGAAACAGATGAGTATTTGAAAACAGGTCTGACAAGGTGTCTGAAAGAGAGATGCACAAGGGATGAACTGGGCAGCATGCATGAAAAAGTTAAAAATAAGCAAGAAACAAGAAAGGACAAAGAGTGATATGTATGCAAAATTGGCAGGACCTGAGGAGAGTCGGGCGAAAGGACCCAGGGAAGATGCATGTGAATTTGGCAAGGCCTGAGCGTCGGGGAACGGTAAAAGGAAAACATTGATTACACGGGTCGAAAAGTAGATTATTTTTTATAAGAGTAATGAATGAGGCGAGACCAAAATGGTTTCTGCTCGAGAATGCTTCCTCGATGAAATGGGAAGACAGATTTGAGATTACAAAGCACTTAAGGGGAGTTGTGCCTGGGCTCACCGATTCGAAGCGGGTATCACCACAGCAAAGACAACGGTTGTACTGGACGAACATCTCCCTTCCGGAGCGAATGCCTGATATTGAGTCGCACCCAAAAACTTGCTTACAATTTGTTATCAACAAAGTCAACGCATAGAATGAGAAAACCAATTGTGTTATGACAACAAATTGTCACCCTGGGAATAAAGCCAGCATACCAGTAGTTAAGTACATGACGCAAGGAGAATCCCGTCTGCTTCATGTTACTGAAGTTGAAAGGATTATGGGCTGCCCTGCTGGGTATACAGAGTTAACTTAAGAGGAAGTTTGCATCTCAATTGACGGAAAGATAAAGAGGCAGAGCTATGACAGAAATAAGCAACCTGGTCTAAGCTGTCGAACCTTCGACTCCCCCATACCCTCCTCCGCCCCAAGGGGCGGAAGCTAAGGAAGACATTGAGAAAGGAATGAGAAAAGAACAAAACGGACTCTGGAAAACTAACCACCCATAACACCACACCCTCCTTTCCCGTCTATCCCTCCAAAATCCGCTAACAAGAAATTGGTGCACGATGAGGACATCGCGAATGAGTGGGGGGAATGTGTCGGGACTAATGGGTCACGAATAACTTTCCATCACTCGAGAGATTGAATACGGATAATTTGTGCACAACAGAGAAATCTGGAGTGAGGAAGTAGGAGAGAGAAAAGACAAAGGATTAGGCCGCAGAAGGGAGTGATACCCTGAGGAGAGAACCACAGGAGGAAAGAATTAGCGGCGGCAAGCAAGCGAGCGCAAGAATAGGGGCACATAGAACATAGCAGGAGGCCGGGAGGGCCATCGAAATGCAATAAGACTAAGGCCAAAGGGCCCTTTGAACTAGCAATTGCAGCGCGACAACAATAAGGGAATGAAGAAGTTGAGGAATGGGCGGCCAGAAGCCGTGGGAAGCCAGGAAATGAGGGTCCAACGTGGGGGTCACCTATGGGAGCCTCGGAGCGAAGGCCCGCGACCAAAGAGATCGGCACCATAAGGCGCAAGGAAAGACTAAGGAGAGAGGTCGCTATGGGGCGACAAGACGCCCAAGGGGCGTGGGACACCTCGTAGAAACGCACTCGGGGCCACGTGGGACTAAGTAAAAATAATGGCGTCCGGGGCGAAATGTRTCGGGGACCGCCGACGGGACTAAGTGTCGGGAACCGCCGACGGGACTAAGTGTCGGGGACCACCGGCGGGACTAAGTGTCGGGGACCACCAACGGGACAAGTGGCGGGGACATGTGAAAGTCCCAAGAAGAAACGGTGGCACCACGTGAGGGAAAAATAATAAATGCAAGGTGCACTGTCAAGATCGACATCTTGNATGTGAAAGTCCCAAGAAGAAACGGTGGCACCACGTGAGGGAAAAATAATAAATGCAAGGTGCACTGTCAAGATCGACATCTTGACGGCCAAGAATATTAGCACCACTAGTGCAAGTACTAGTGGTGACAAACGGGAAGGCCAAAAGGAAAAGGAAAAGTAAAGAAAACTGAAGTGGGAGGCATGGGAGCAATCCGAAAAATCTCGGATCAGCCTCCCTCAAGAAAATAGAGTTAAAATAGACCCCATGCGAAAAATAGCCCTCCGGGAGAAAATCGGAGTAGGAGGGACCATTATGGGAGAAATGCAGGAGTAAAAGGAGGCTCCCATGGGCATGGGAA